TCAGCCATCCTGCATATCCATCAGCAGCACCCAGGGCTATTCCATCCCTAATACAAGTTCCTCAAGAAGGTAGGCAGATCGGCAGCAGCATCCAGACCCAGTAACTTCAAAGCCGCAACCGAAACTGCAGGTGACGGGACCTGCATGAAAAGTCATAAGTTAAGTATGATCTGAGCATACTACGATTTCCCGCCGGTCTGCCATTGAATTTGCCAGGGACGACGTTGAATAACTAGCGCGGCCGAAGCGTCGGGGCTAAAGAATCTGCCCCATTTTAAAAGTCGTCGTTGAAACGCTATATAATATCATCACTATGGATATTATTACTGTCGAGTCCTGTGTGACTCTACCTTAATTTCTTCCTGATAGTAGCAGCGAACAAGGCATCAGCACTGATGAGTATCCTACATACATTAGAAAGATTGGACAAACACATGCAGATTTTAACCTGCTCTGGAATGATACGCGCAGAACAATTTTATTTATCTTGAAATTTTGAATTTTGTCGGCGATGTAAAGATCTGTTATTACGTGGGAGGCAGCGGGCAGAAAACAACTGTAGGGGTTGTATTGGATCTATCTACAAAGAGGTTAATATAGTGGTAGGTCACGTGATCTAGTGGGATCGCTAACCGCAACGGCCGTAACTCTTGGAGGATAACGTTGTTGTGTTGTAATCTAACTACGCGAGTTACACTAAATAGGTTGGGGTGGCACGTGACTAGGGTAGGTGTAGTAATCACCAACACCCCCCCTTGCTACACCGTGGCCTATAAGCCGCCACCCGAGGCCTCCCCCATCCTCAAATCTTTCAAAAATGCAATAATAATTAATTACATCAATCGGACCCTGATTTCCTCATTAGGAAAGGCGTCCGTACGGCAATAACTGTAAAAATCAAGAAATACATGCAAAATCCATTGATCCGCCGTATCGTCATTACCATTCAATCATTCCTTCTTCTCAATTTCCTGAATGCCAACCCTCTTGACAAATTCTTCAAATGCAGGCTTCGCCAGTGGCTTGGTGAGCCCGTCAGCTATATTCGCTGTAGAACCAACATGTTCCATCATGATTTCCCCTTTTTCAACCAAATCGCGGAGAATATGATATCTAATCTTGATGTGGCGCGACCTTCACATTAAGGACTCTCCTTTTGCTAGATCAATTGCTCCCTTATTGTCAACTCATAGGTGTGAGCATATTTTCACTTTTCCATCATTCATCAACCCAGCATCATATAACATATCATTCAATTAGATTATCTCACAAGCTGCCTTGCTAGCTGCAATATATTCAGCTTCTGTGATTGATTTGGTGATAGATGTCTGTCTCTGCAACCACCATGAGATTGGTGACCTGTTAATCAATATAACATAGCCGGTAGTCAATTTGTATTGGGGATCCGCCCCTGCCCAGTCCGAATCACAGTATGCTACAGGACTCAGGCCCACATCACCGATCTCCTTCCTGTATAATATGCCATGGTTTTTCATCTTCTTGACATAATGTAGGACATGCTTCAACACTGCCCAACATGCCTTGTGTGGACACAAGTTAAAACACGAGAGATAGTTGACCGCGAATGCCAGGTCTGGCCGGCTGCTTGAGACCAAATACTGCAATGATCTCAATCCTTGACAATATCTTGTAGCTGTAAAGTCATCATCCAATTCCCCCCCCTCATCAGGTGAGAATTCCAGTTGTATGCCGGCTGCCATCGGGGTGCCAGCTGGATTTACCTTATTCATGCTGAAATCTTCAAGGATCTCCTCAATATAACAGCTCTGTGTAACCGCTAGATCGCCATTCCTCTGGCATTTGACCTCCATCCCAAGATATGGCTTGGTCTCTTTGACATTCTTTGTCTCAAATCTCTTTGCAATCTCTCTCAATACCCAGTCTAATTGCTGTTCTTGAGGTCCCATCACTCAACAATCATCAACATGCAATGTCAGATAGATCTTGTGAACAGAGTGATATAGGAATCCACCATCATAAGGTGATATCTTGAATCCCAATGTGGTGAGGTGTTTCATTGCTAGGAAATACCATACCCTCATGGCTTGCTTCATTTCATATAGACTCTGGCAGAGTAATCCCACCAAGCCCCCCCTGCCATGCTTAACACCTGTGGGCAGTTGCATATAGATCATCTTGTTCTGTGGTAGTATGCCATTCAAAAATGCGGATACATAGTCAATTGATTTGACCTTTCATCCTTTGGCAGTTGATATAGTAAATAGACTGTGTGATGTAGGCCCTGATATCACTGCAGCATACAATCTTGTATAATGAATACCCTGCTGTTGCAAGAACTCTCTAACCACCCAGTGAGCTCTAAAGTGGATGGTTTCTCCCTTATTATTGAATTTTCAATCATATACTCATTTGCCTGTAAGAATATTCATTTCCGGGGCCTTCTCAATGACAATATATGTCTTCTTCTATTCAAATATCTTAATCTCCTTTTTCATTGCTTCATGTCAATAGTCCCAGTCTGGGCTTCTCTTGACTTTCATCAGTGTAGTTGGTCGGTCTGTCAGAACACTTAGAACAGAATCATTCTCATTAACAGAGTCTTCAGACTCTTCATTCATGACAAGCTGTGTCTCATCATCTAGAAGATAGATTGAATCAATTGCACTCTCTAAGTTCTCATTGATAATCATCTTCAAAACATCTGGCTTTTCCTTCACTAGGTGTTATAGTAAGCAGTGCTGTCATTCTTCTCTGGCATTCAGAATGTTCAATTCATTAGGCAATTCATTGGATTCTCTCACTGTATTTACAGGTGTATTTGCACCCATGTCAAGAGCTTCATCAAATATGACATCTCATGCAATCTCAAGACAACGTGCAACAGGATCCCACACACAATATTGATGTAATCCTTGGTATTCAACCAGCTGCCATTCCCTGCTGTCAGTCCTATCTGCAAGCTTATTCAACACTTTCAAATTCTTCTTGTAGACCTTGCACCCCCATCTCTGTATTCAATGGACAGAAGGTTGCACCCCAGTTCACACTTCAAAAGGTGTAAGTGATGTTCCTTCCTTGCATTCAAATATCTTCATTGATGTTGAGAATGTGTTGATCATCATGATCACAGCTTGCATTGCTTCATCTCAAAGTTCTCTTTCTAATTCACTATCAAATAGTAGGCTTCACATCTTTTCTGCAACTATTCAATTCGCGCATTTCACTGAGTCATTCAATTGTGATGTGTCAGGTGTAGTCATTTCATATGCTATTTCTTTGCTCTGGCAGTAGGTCTTAAGTTCTTGACTTTTGAACTCTCCTTCATCATCTCAGTGTAGGATTTCAACTCGATGTTGTGTAGTTGTCTCAATACTCATGATGAAGTTCATTAATCTTGCAGTAGATTCTTCCTTTCTCATTATAAGAATTGTTCACCTATAATGAGTTGCATTGTCTGTTATACTCAACCAGTAGCTTGCACCCCCTCTAGTGGGAGTGTCATTCCCGTTGAAAAGTGTTTTTCCACCCTCTGCCAGATTGATGAAGAATCTCATTGCCAGCTTGACAGCTTGTGTCATAGATGTGAAGGTTGAATATGTCATTTTTACCTGTACACAGGTCTTGCAGAATGGCAAAGCTCTGCCACCCTTTATTCTCATTTCTAGTCATGGATCTGCCGCCATTTTTGCAATATCTGCAGGATTCAGGTGTTCTAGCTTTTGATGCCATTGCATCATCATAAGTTCTATAACCTTTGTGTCATTCCTTTCAGATAGTGTCAATATTGTGTCATTACTCTTTGTCCACAGTGTATTCACAGGTTCAAAATCACCATTGAGTATAGCAAATCAGATCAAGTCTCTATATGTGACTGGTCTTTCCATCTCATAGATATCATTCTCATTTAATCTTGCTGTAAATGAGAACATGCAGTCAGGAGACATAATCAACATAGCATGATTATTCTCATATATCAACTGCTTATAGGTATAACCCTGACATACAAGCTTACTCATACTCATGAGGTTCACTTCTAACTTCAGGACATAGTGGACATCATTTAATAGCATATCTGCTTCTTCCACTGAAATCTTCATATCTTCTATAGCTGCAGCAGGGACCATCATTCCATCTGTCATTTTCAACATCACTTTCATCTTCTGAGGTTTTGCCACAACAAGATCCCTGTGGGGTGTGGTGTGGGCGCCTGATTCAGAGTCTAGAATCCAGGTATCTTTTCCTGTCTGGTCACTTGCATAGGCCTTTTCTTTGATGCAAAATACTTGCTTTATGATGTTGTGAATAGAAGCAGCATCTGTATTCTCTGCATTCTTGTCTTTATCCTTGTTTCTATTTGTATTGGAGTTTGAAGAACATTTCTCAGAGTATTTCTTTCAACAGTCAGTCTGAATATGATCAACCTTTTGACAATGATAGCAGGTCCTCACATCATTACTTCTACATTCAGATTTGAATTCAGTGTTCTTGTTCTTGTCATTGTCTTTCTCTTTGTCCTTGCCTTTCTTATCCTTATCTTACACATTGTTGATAGGATTTCTAGACACATCAGTATTTGCTTCATTCACAGCAGAGAGCTGTAAAAGAATATCATGACACAGGCTCATAAAATCATCCTCTAAGGATTGAGTATTATCTTTGTCAATTTGATTCATTCAATTCCTTATGAATGAGGCTCAATCTCTGTTGACTTCTGTAAGCAGTCTGTCAAAAAACATGACATCCGGGATCTCATATTCTAGACAGATATAATCAGTCCTTATGGCAATCAGATGTTCAATGAAAGCTCTGTCAGATTCTTTGCTTTTGAAGATCATTTCAATAAGCTCTTCAAACAAACAAGTCCTGTGTACAGCAGGCCTCTCAGAAAAGTTATCCTCTATGATAGTTCATAGAGCATAAGCTGATAATTTGAACTTCTTGAGTATAGTGAAATGAGCCTTAGCCTGCAGAGCAATTGCAGATCACATGTAATTATATAATCAAAGATTGCATTCTTTTCAGAAATATTGCATGTTCATAGTGACATTCTCATCAAGACTATTATCTTCAAGAATATCATCAGTTTCAGACTGCTCTGCAGTCAAAAGAATTTCCTCTCTTCACATTGAGTAGTTAATGAATTCAGTGAGGATAATCAGTCTTTTGATGAGTCTTACTTAGCTTCTGAATTCTTCAAGGACTTTCATTATGACAGATGTCTTCTCTTTTCATTGAAGATATTCTGCCAGGTCTGCTTCCATCTCATCACCTGCAGGGTCACCTCTACTGATCTTCATTCACTCAACCTCATGCTGAAGTCTTGTAATTTCTAGTCTCATGTGAGTCTTCTCACTCACTGAGCTATTGTCATTCCAGTCACTTGGGCCTCTCACATTGCCTGATATCTCACTGATGATGCCTTCAACTGGGTCTTCATATACATTGAACTTGTCAGACTGTTCTTCTGTGATGGTTTTGTCCGGCTCAAACACCCCAGGAGCTGCCTTCTGATTCATTATTGATGTTGACAGTGATCTGTGATCTTGCATTTGCTGCTCTGGTGTTTTCTTGTTTTTCCATCTTGGAGACATGTATTCTTTTGTTAAGTCAGGTGTCCCCCCGGATCTTAGATTAATCATGGGTTCAATCACTCAATAAATCATCTAGGCATGCTTGTAACGATGTGTGGAGATGTCAATTGCACATTATTTTACAGCTTTTCATTGTGTAGAGGGCTTCATAACCTCTTGAAGGATAACATTGTTGTGTTGTAATCTAACTACGTGAGTTACACTAAATAGGTTGGGGTGGCACGTGACTAGGGTAGGTGTAGTAATCACCAACAGTAACGGCCAACAACAACAAGGCTACGTTACGTAAGCCCTATCAGCCCCTGTTGGACAGGCGCCTATCCCGCGTGACCCACACAACATCCATAGATTAGCGCTAGCTACGGAGGGCGCTACCAAAAGAATTGCGCCGGCAAAAAGACAGCTAGACAGTGCCACAAATCTTGGCAGAAATTCACACTGTAATTTATACTGAATATTCAGTTCTTGATTATTTCATTGTCTTCACTGTCATTCAACACATAATATGCTCTACAATCTACTTCTTTTTAATGTGTACTCTATAATCTGCCTGTCAATCTCATCTCATAGTCAGATGAGTATTTTATTTCTTCATCTGCTTATACTGTTTTTCTTCTCTATATTTATTATCACTTTTTAACTTTCTAATCTTTTAAATATGCAAAGAAATTCACTCAATTCATATCTATACATTTTCTTATGATAAATTCTTTCATGTCTGCTTTTATACTCTAACTGCTTTTATACAGTTTTTAAAAGCTTTATTTTTTATTATTCTGTGCTTTATTCAAAATCAAGCTGTTTTAATTGCATTAAATTAGATGAATTTTCATATTAAAACAGCTATTAAATCTCTTGAATATTATATATATAATATTGAATATAGTGATTATATAAAGAAGTTTTATTCTCTGATAGTCAAGCTGCTTTAAAAAGACTTAGAAATAGTTAAATTTATAATAATTAAATGAATCTTAAACTGATTTTAAATTCTGTTATGAAAATTTAAAAGAGAAGAATATTAAAAATAATAATTCATCTACACTAAGTTTCTACTCATATAAATATTTATGACATTGAATTGACTGATTTAACTGCAAAAAAAGGTTCAGAATTAAGCAGATTTATTTAAAAAACAGTGTTGTAATCTTTTATAAACAGAAAGATAAAAGAATCTTATTTAAATAAGTGAAATAAAAGCTGACAAAATCAAAAGAAGAGTATATATTATTCAAGATTTAAAACAAAATCTAAGTGAAAATCTTGTTTAATAAAATATAAAAATAAAATATTCTCATTTATAATTCAGCTGAAACTAGAACATGATTATTTCAAATCTTATATATAAAGATTTAACAATAGATTTGACTCAACAGAATGCTCACTTGGTAATTTAAATGAAAATTCTGAGTATATTATAATGTATTATGTATTATATAATTAGACTGACCGTGTGACCGTGTCTGAGACCAGGATCAGATTTTTTAATAGTTTCATTACCAATTCAACTGATCTCATTACACAGTTTTAACATTAGATAGTAGTCTTATACTGTCTCAGTGAGACTTACTGTCTACTCTTGTCACATTTTTCAAATGAGATCATGATTTTCACTTCTCAATTTAAATTATTTTTATTACTTTAAATGACTTTAAATCTCATTTAAGTGTTATCAAAAAGTGTTACTTTTTAAAAAATTAAAAATAGTCTAAAAAAAACCTTAAAATGTCTAAAAATAGTAACTTTATATCAAGAATAAGACTAAATAAAATCAAATAAAATCACTTTCTTATTTTTTTCAAGTCATGATTTTATTTTAAGATCTGATATATAGTCACTTTGCATGTTTTTTTAATGACTAGTCTCAGCAGAATTCACACTAAGAAATGTATGAGATCAGATTAAATGAGATTAAATGTGAAATTCATAATCTCAATGACTAGTCTAATAAGAGTAGATAGTAAGTCTTACTGAGACAGTATGAGACTACTATCTAATGTTAAAATCATGTAATGAGATTAGTTGAATTGATAATAAGATCAGTAAATATTCTGATTCTGATTTCAGATATAATTACATGATCAGTCTAATTTGATTTGATCTCATATATTTCTTAGTGTGAATCTTACTGAGACTAATTATTAAAAAAACATGCAAAGTAACTATATATCAAATCTTAAAATGAAATCATGACTTAGAAAAAATAAGAAAGTGATCTCATTTGATTTCATTTAATCTTATTCTTGATATAAAGTTACTATTTTTAGACATTTTAAGGTTTTTTTTAGCTTATTTTTAATTTTTTAAAAAGTAACACTTTTTGATAACACTCAAATGAGATTTAAAGTTATTTAAAGAAATAAAAATAATTTAAATTAAGAAGTCAAAATCATGATCTTATTTGAAAAATATGATAAGAGTAAATAGTAAGTCTCACTGAAATAGTATAAGATTACTATATAATCTTAAAACTGTGTAATGAGATCAGTTGAATTGATAATAAGACTATTAAATATTCTAGTTCTGATCTCAGATATAATTACACAGTTAGTTTAATTATAATCTCTCTTTACTTTTTCTTTTCTATTCTTTTTTTATCTACTTATTTAATGTGTCTATCTTTAAGACTTTATTCTCTTTTCTTTTATCTTGTTATTTCTGAATAATTTCAAAGTATCAAAAGGTGTTAAAATACTATAATTTATAAATAGTTTTTATATTCTAAGCTAAAATTTTCTCATTTTACATATCTAAAATTGATAAATGTATAATAGTTAGCTTTATAGATATTAGAAAAACTTTAAGAACTAAAAGTTTTCAGGTAAATATTATAGTCTCTGACTGTATACATCTATAATAAAAGAATAATAATAATAATAATAATAAGTTTTATTCTTTTATATAATAATATTTAAATAATTAATTTAATACTCTTTTGTAAAGAAAAATAGCTTTGATAAAAGAATTTAAACTTGATAATAATATTAATCAATTTCACTATTTTTACTATGAAATAGTTTGTCTGTAGTTTTTTTAAACTTTTATATTAATTTTTGACCTGGCTGTTAGACTGGCCGGTGAGATCATGAATTTCATATTTAATCTCATTTAGTCTGATCTTATACATTTCTTAGCATGAGTCTCACCAGAATCAAGTCTCAAAAAAATCTGAAAATGAATTATTTCTGAGAGAAATGATGTGAAAAATGATCAGATTTAATTCAATAACAGTGAAATGAGAGTAATTTCTCAGAATAAACTGTGAAAAGATGATCATTCTTTCAAAATCAGAATGAGACTGAGACTGAAAATTAAAATCAGTTCTATTCAGTTCATTCAGTGATTGCTTATATAATCAGAATTTAGTAATAATTATTGATAACACTTATGAAATAACTAAATACATTCTTATATAAGTTTATTCTTCACTTTCTCATAAAAACTACACTTCTCTGATATACTGTGATCAGAGGTATTAAACTATCTGATAATTTCATATTTTACAATTATGAATTTCTTGATTATTTTCTCTTATAATTGTTCTCAGTGATAGTGATAAATATCTTAACTTGAGTTAAACTTTCACTTCATTCTCATCTCTGTCAATGAAATTATCAGAATATCACACATCATCAGTGTAATAGATGAATATATACTCTCAATAATTTTTCATAACTCTAGAATTGATTTAGTGTATAAATTCATCAGATTATCTTGAAGATAGTAATTAAATTCAGTTTTATAAGTATATAGTTTTGCCTGATTTTCAGTTGTAATCAATATATGCAAGTTCTGTTTCAAAGTTAGTATTATAGTTCTATGTAATATAAAGTGTTATCAAAGAATGTTACTTACTAAGGAATTGTATTGCACTGTCTTCATATCTTGAACATCTGCTTATTCAAGTCTCTGATAGTTGATATTATAGTAGTCTTGAGTTAATTTAATATATAAGTCTCATTTCTCCTCTGTTCAATCTTGAGAAGTGTAGATATTAACTTAATAAAAGAGATCTAGTAGAGCTGTTACAGTATAGTACTCTGTAAAAGATTGTTCAGTTTTACTGTAGTAATATACTAGTTTATTTCTTACAGTAATAATAGCCTGCACTATAGCATTATTTCTGACTGAATTTCTTTTTAAGTGATTCAACTGCTTCTTAAGATAAGTAAATAAACTGTTATACACTCATCAGACTGAATACAGCATTGATGTATAAGTGATTAAGACTGTCTTTATTATCTTATAAAACTGAAACAGTAAATTAATCACATATTTCAACTGAGTTTATTTCATATTAAAAAGTTTCAATATCTGAATCTTTTCTTAATCAGAGTATTGCACTCAATAATTAATTATCTGACATAATCAAAGAGTCTGAACAGTTATCTTATATATTAAACTTCACTATATTCTAACATTCTGTATTATATTCAGTGATATGACTGATTTGTTTATTTATTAAATATCATGAAATCATTGTTATTATTTAGAGAAGATACAAATTATATTAGCAATGTTTCAAATCTGTGATATTTAAATTATTAATCAATCTATTCAAAATTAACAGTAGTATTATTAAAAAGTATTATCAAAAAGTAATATTAAAAAGTATTATTAAAAAATATTATCTTTTACAAAGTAAATGTAAAAGTTACTTAAGTAATTATTTTCATCTCATTCTTATCTCAAAAATCAGTCATCTCATTATTCATTATCTTAATATTAAGATTCTTTATCAGTGTTTATATCACAAGTTAAATCATATAAATAATGCAGAGAATATAATCTTATTTATCATTTCAGATATACAAAGTCAATTTTTACTTCAAGCTCTTCATTATAGTGTAGTTATTTACAGTATTATCAGTTATAATTATAAGAAGACTGAGACTAATATCTTAATAGTTGTTTTTAATCACTGTCATTAATATCTCTGTTATATAATCCTCAGTATG